TTGCATTCCATGAATCATTTCGACGATATGTTCTATGTAAGAGTGATGTTGCTCTAAAAGAACCAACACTCAATTCGAAACAAATGGCTATGGCATTGGAATTCTATTTACAAATCGATGGTTAGTCTTCATGCCGATATATATGATGCATATATGTTTCATATCTTTTAGTGGATTTATTCTATATGAAAACTTGTTCGTTTCGAGGAGCTCAAACTCCATCTAAAATAGAAGGTCTATTTTGTGGAAGAGATGAACCTCAAGCAAGATATTCATTGGTTCCATGTGATAATCTTTTTTGTCAATGTTGTCTTCCATTAAATACTTACAAGAAAAGTCAACCATGGCCAATTGTTAATTTTGCTTCAAGTTCAATGCATCGATTTCTCAATGGTTATACTACCTATCTAAATTGTCCAGCAGTATGTTGTCCTTAAATGTTGAATTTTATATCGATCGACTATGACTAAAATTTAGACATGTACTACATCGAATATAATTTATGCCGTGACATGTCCATGTGGTCATTATGATTATGTTGATTCAACAGCAAAAACATTGGCTGATGCTATGGCTTGTAAATATAAATTTTCTTACGATAATCATGAGCATGCCTTTATTTCTCTTCTTCATTTTCTTATAATATACAGATCATCGAGAACATGGCAATCGAATTATACATGAAAAATTAACTGGTAGTCCTCTATTTCGAGGATCACAAATCGATCCTAATGAAAGAGAGTAATAAAAGACATTCGATCATTCTTTCAATTATGCTACACATATTCTTTGTTTTCTTTTTCATTGTTGTAGAAAAGAAATGGTTAATCAAATGCGTCTCTATCAACATTCAGCTCGTTGTCCAGAAGCACTTCGTTCATTTCTTGATTGCAATCCTATGTATTGGTGTTTTATTCCTCTACCTGTGGATGAAGCAGCAACAGAAAATGCTGCTAATCGTCCAGGAACTTCTACTACAGACCCCAATCTGGATGCTGTGATAGCAACTACTGCCGTAGACAATCGTAGGGTGGCTAATTATCTAGATAATGTACCATTACCACCAACTCCCTATGCCTTCTCATATCGACAGCTAAAACAACAGCGTCTACTTTTCGAACGATTTGCTACGTCTTCCATTCATTACCGGCCTTGTATCAAATTAGATTTGTATAACATAGCAATTATTGCCGTTTGTAAGTAAATCTATCTTTATCAACCACATCATCATTCTCATCATTATCACTTATACCTGTTTTTCTATCACATTGATTTAGTACCAAATGATTGTTCAATGATACTACGATACATCATCGAAACATTATTCATTATTCATGGTGAAACTAAATTGAATATGATTTGTCCACTTGGTGGTGATGCTGAAAAACATTACGGTCCTCCGTATAACCTATATTGGTGTGATAATTTGAATAATTCATCAATGTGAACCACGACATAAACTCAGTGACCTTTTAAAACTACAATAGTCACTATTATAAAATAGCATTTAATCAATATAAGCAACTTTACTTACCTCGTAGATATTAGTTGACCTTTAGTGTTTGTAATCTGTGTGCGAAATAGTTAACCTTAGATTAATAAAATACATTTGCGCACTTCTTCTAATATCATACTAATATATATAGTTTCATTCTAGATAAGTATATTTCGGAAACAATCAGGCTTAAGCATATTATTTCTATTAGTTTAAAATGATGAGCTGAAAGCAAGGATGATTAAAACAAAAAAAAAGTCTACGACACATTTTTTGTTTTTTTTTGGTTGGATGTTTTGCATAGTCATAAGGATTCTTTTTATTTATTAGATATATTAACGAAAATCGAATATTGATTTAATTATGGATATGTACCAACATATACTGAAATCTTCTGAACATCTTGTTTCACAAAATGGTTCAATAACAAAAAAGAAGAAAAAGTATCGTGGTAATAGAAAATTACAACGTTTACGACGAAAAGATCGAACCAATGGAATGTCTAATCAAGCAAATGAAATGGTAATGCTGATTAGAAAAGCAAATAAATCAATGTATCCAAATATTCAACAAATGGTGAAACCAATAGATGGATCTTTTTTAGTAAATACGGTAAATAATATTATGAATATGTCTATGCCATTGGCAAGTCAGATACAATGAAAATTATTTTTTTTTGTAATAAAGATAATTTTCATGTTATTATTTATAGAATTATCCATATGAATATCACAATAGCGAAGAAAATTTAGAAGTTGATTCAACAAATGAGTTATTTTTATTATCCGAATCAGAAGCCGAAGAAGAATGATCTACAGCACCATCTGTCGTACATCCAAAGAGAAAGAAACGGTACAATTTATCAAATGATCATTGGAAACAAGTGTCAAAAATCATTTCAAATTATAAAAAATGATTACCTTATCAATTCAAAGATGCGTTAATGAAGGTCATTCCTGCTTCGTCTCAATATGAATAAACTTAGCGCACATTAAAATAGTTGAATGAATCTTTTCTCAGGTGCAAAGATTGAAATCATCATCATCATAAAGGATTTTTCAATGTTACGAGATGAAATTCTTTCTATGTTTAAATAATTCTTCTCAGTTCTTTCACTTCTATTTCTATCACTTTCATACTAACTTTCTTTATTTTTCACTATCCATTATCTTATCTATTATATTCAAATTCATAGTAATAGAAAATGTTTTGACACGATCAATGCTATTTTAGATAGACATATTGTACACACATAAAGAAAAACAGTTTTTATGTCAAGAGAAAGTTATTCATTCTGTTCCTTCATCAATGATAATTTCATGGATGCTAAAAAGGAAGAAACCAAATCGCCGAAGAGCAATGTCCAACAATCGACTTTAGATCGTCCAACACTATTGTCTTGTATATGGCACGACAATCCGTTTGAATGTTACAAGTACTGTATTCATTTTATTTTCTAAGACAGCGAATGAATATCTTATATCTTACATCTTTTTTTTTTATTCTAGCATTGATCATATTTGTACGAATCCATCACCAATAGTTGCTCTACAATCATGTTTACTTCCATCAGATATCTTATTCGATTCAAATATATATGAACCAATTGTATCAAATGTCTGTCAGGAAAAAATGATCAATATTAAACAAGAAGAAAGAGAAGAAGACGAAATAATAGTACTAGAATATAATAATGATAATCAAAATGATAATGATCAGGATTATTCAATGTATGAAGAACAATTCGATGAAATGACTCTTTACAATAAACGAGAACAGGAAATGCAAGATCTTCTAGAAATTAGTCGAGATACTCAATCTATGGACGATAATACAGTTAATAGTATCGTACACAAATCAAATGGTAGATTACATACCAAAACAATCGAGAACAATAATAATCAACCTTCAAATGAATTACAAACATTACCATCATCATCATCATCATCAGTCATAGTAACAACATATCCTGATCCACCTATGAATCAAACGGGTAGAATTGCTCATCATGATCATTCTTATACTAAATATGGTGATCTTGACTGACAATCTATTGCTAAAATATGTCAATTTAATCTTCAATCACCACCATCATCTTCTTGTCGACAACTAATGCGATTAAATCGTAAATCATTAGCTATTATATCATGGACCAATGTTTCCAAAGATGCTGTAATGAATCGTATTAAACGAGAATTCTCTCTAGAAAACATCCAATATATTTGTGTTGGTAAAGGAATCAGTGAAAAAGATCATCAACAAACTTTAGAGGTACAAATTATTTTTAAAGAAAAAGTCAATAAGAAAACGCGATTTCTCGATGGAATTACTCAAACATGTTGTAATTATCAAGTGACAAAGAATGTTCTTGCATGGAATGACTATATTAAAAAAGATATAAACTGTCTTGAATTTGGTCAATTTGAATCGACAACATCTCATGGATGTAAATATTCGTCATCACTCTCATTATCAACAACTGCAGCAAAAGCAGCAGCAGCAGCAGCATCAGAAGCGATACCCGAAGCAACAGCACAAGCAGCAAAAAAAGCAATAGCAAAAGCAGTAGCAGTAAAAGCGATAGCCGAAGCAACAGCACAAGCAGCAAAAAAAGCAATAGCAAAAGCAACAGCAGCAGAAGCGATAGCAAAATCAACAGCAAAAGCAGCAGCAGCAGCAGTAGCAGAAAAAAATGCCGTCTCTATTTCTATTCCATTCGATCAGAATCAACCATTAGTTCTAAAAAGAAAAACAACGGTAGAAGCACAAGCAGAAAAAAGATGTAAATATAGTAATGAAATAGCGGAACAATCACTTGAACTAGCACAAACAAGTATGCTTTTAAATAATGAATCTATTGATAAAATTCACCAGTATCAACAAAGATCTGAATACTATTATTCACTAATTTGACTCACTAATAGGAAAAGATATATCTATGAGTGACAATTATTTTTCCATTTTCATCTTTTCATTTATTATCAACACTTCTTAAACATGTATCTATTTCATTTTTATTCTTATTCAAACAAAGTGTCATTTTCAAAAAACTTTTCTGTTACTAGTATTAGTAGTAGTAGTAGTTGTTTTTTATTTACTTTTGACATTTTTTTGTCTATATCTATTGACTATATATTATTTCGAATTCATATCTAATTACGTCGTATTGTCATGATCATTATTTCTTTGATTGCAATTCAAAAATTACATTCTAGATTAAATTGATTATCTTTCAGATTATATTATTCATGGCACGAGAACGAAATCAAAATTCAACTTTCGATGAAATCGATAAATTACTTGCCGATGAAGAATTTTGTCGAGCAGTAGACGCATTGAATGACAATAAAGGTAAATATGAAAACTGAAATGAAATTTTTGTTGAAAAATGTCTAATTATTTTCAATTCTTTAAACAAGACATTACTGTTCACTCATCAACACAGACAACACCGGATCCTTTAAATACTGCTTTTATTGAAGTACGATGTACCATTTGTTTAGTCAAAATAGGCGTAAAAATGAACATTTTTTTTTCTAATATAAACTAGGATACCAACCTCAATGAACATCAACAAAGTAATTTATCTCAACAACAAAGTAAAAATTATTTTTAAGAAAAATTTCATTATATAATTATCGATTCAATAGGTCAAACTATAAATGATGCATCAGCCATCCTTCGTGAATTGGCGGAGATAGCGACTGATCATGAACATGAACGGATTGATCAACCTTTACCAACAACAACAACAACAACAACAAAAGGAAACTTGGTCGAAATAGTTGATCTATTATCATCAACATCTCGTACGATCGATCTATGTACACCGACACCGACACCAACACCAACATCAACACCAACAACAATTGACCTTTGTACACCGACACCAGCAACAATCGACCTTTGTACACCTGCACCAGTTACGATCGATTTAGATTCACCTCAAATACCATCCAACACTAACACTACAGACTCACCACTCCATTTAAGTCCAAAATAATACTTTGTTTGTTTTTTCTTTCCCATTTTTTCCCCTCCATTCTCTATTATCTTCTTCCGATAACTTCTGATTTATTACATATCTAGTTATTCCCTTCGTTCAATTCATTTTTGTCCTTTTATTCTAGATGATTAATTACACTATATATAGTTCATCATAATAATTCGATGAAAATTAAAGTAATATAACGAAAATATCAATGTATTTTATTCATACATTTATCATTTCATTTGTTACTTTTGTATATTATAGTATGACTCGTCAGTGTCAACTCATCAAAGTCAACAATTGGATACGAACATTTGAGTTCAATTGATAAAATAACAAAAGGACAGAGATTTGACGACATTTACTATCAAGAAATCCATTACTTGAACACGTGACTCATTTATCAACATACAATGATTTACAAGGTAAAAAATTGTTATCGCCAACATGCTCGAAATCTGGAACTAGTCTATGACACAATGAATATTACTCGTTTTTTTTCCGCTCTGTCTCTTCTTAATATAATTATTTAATCAGGCAACCTCTTGTCAAAAACTTTAAAAAAAACTTGTTGAACTGATACATACTTTGGAATTTAACTAGGAGAAGGGTTAAATTCATCTAATCACGAAGTTTGCTTCATTTAATATAAAAGATTTTTAACAAACTACTGCACAATACAATCTTTCATTGAAATTCAACAGAAACATTCAACTTAGTTTCGAATTTGACAAAAATTCGTTACGAGTGCTTTTTGATAATCCTAGTTGCTAAGGTGAAATATCGATATCATGATAGCTGTTATACACATCCTTCTTTTGACTTTATACTCATGTTCTCTTTTTCCTGTAATTTATAGAATTCATCTTTTGCTGTCTTAGTTCTCCTGAATCAAGTCTACTTTTTTTAGAATTCTTTCACACATATTAACGACATATTGAAGAGTCTTAGGGACAGAAGTATACAGAGATTGTCTGACAAATATACTGTATACCTATGACATATAATTTTACACACATGGTAAGCAATAAATTTTTATTGTAAAATGTTTGCATACACCTTAGTTTATTTACTTTTTTATAGTGACTTGTAAAAAGACTTGGAATATTTTTTCATAGATTTTAAATTGAGTCTTGTGTTTTATTCCAGATAGTACTATTTTTACAAAAAAGAACTTTGTAGCATTAGTTCAAAAAGAACTAAACATTGAAACGAAATTGTGAAGAGCAATTCAAAAAATTCAATTTCCATACAAATGGACTCTAGTAACAATGATTTCAAGCAA